GGTCGAATGCCATGGTTGGCGGAGGCAGTTGCTTTCTGCAGGCGGCCTATGTCCTAACCATCCTAACCAACCCCATACATAAAAGGGTTTAGTGTTTAGGGAACATTTCGAATGCAAACATCCATGGCATCAGCAGGCCGCGGACGTAGGGACCTAGTAAACCCTTCACCATCCATCGTTCTACGCGTCCAGGGTTCATAACCTGGACATCAACATCGACAGCCCCTTTCGTGAAAGAAGGCGCCCACAGGATGCTAAACAACAGATCTCTCCATATTTTGCCCCTACCTGAGGCAACCGGCACGCAAACAGTGCTGAGAAAAAGTCATCTCCTTAGCTGAATGTTAACTTCATCGTTTGTCGTGAACGGCACTTAACATGGAGGGTTTCCACCTCAAAGAAGTCGGCGACGGCTGGGGCTGAAGAGAAGTCGGGGACCTCCTGTGACAAACTAGGGGAAGACTAGCGTAGGGCCTAGGTTTACGGGATTTAGGTTTTCGGGGTGAGGGTTTGGTGAGTTCAAGCTTTCGGGCTGTACCACTTTCCCCTCGCTGGCATTGACGGCGGAGCTACGAGTACGTCTGAACCGAACCATAGAACACCAAAACCCTAGACACTGAACAGGAAACCAGGCATCCTGAGTCCACAACATTGACCTAGATTGATGAAGCCAGTGGGGCTGAGGGCATGGAAATACACGGCCTCGGCTATGAGTCTACAACTTACAGTCAGAGACGAGCCGTCCCGGTAATGACCAACAGAATGGCTTAAATAACCGGAATGGGTGTTGGTGTGTGTTGTGGTTGCTTTGTATAGGGACTTAAAGAGGGCAGTGTTGCTAAGAATGCAGGCCCTGCAATTAAGGCCCCGTCTTTGGCACTATGTGCCCTCTCGAGATCTTGGAAGACAAAGGCCCCAACACGGGTATATGATACTAGGATTACAACAAGGAACCCTCAAAATAGTNNTATTTATTAAGGCCCCTATATTATCCACATTAAAGAACGGTACCAGGCGGCCTCCCCGACATCCGACTTCTGCATCGCCACCACGGTGGCCAAGGCGATCTTTGCGGCCCTGTGCCGCACCCAGCCTTGGAGAACCTATAGCTGGCTTGAATAATATAGGGGCCTTAATAGTTAGAATAGGGTTTTGGGGCCCATTATACTATGAATATAATAAGGAACCCCCAAAATAGTCTTGGTAATCATTTAGGCCCCTACAGTAATGGGTCACAAAGGTGGTAGCTCAA